AAAAAAAAAAACAATATATAAATTGAAATTACGAAGTATAGAAAGATGTTTAATAAAAATAAAAACAAAATTAGTCGGAGTTTACGATGCTTTTCTCTATACCAGATCGCGATTGATCGATTGCTCTCGTACGATCTAGCATGTGCAAAAGAACATTGTATGTGCCACATCGTGTATGCCACAAGTTTTAAACGCAAATAAAAATTGTTTTCAATTTTATACACATAAAAAAAGATAACTTTTACGTAGGATTGATAATCAGCAAATTTATAAAAACAAATAGTTTTTATATTATGATTAAATTGTTTTGTTTTTCTTATTNATGTGTTTATTACTTCAAATATTGACTTCGTTAACTTTTAATTTAATCATCAATAAAGTTCTATTACTTCGAAGACAAAGAGCAAATTATGAATATTAACGAGAACGTACCGTCCGAGAGTACAATTTTCAGCGTATGTTTAAGTCACTTTACTTGCTTCGATACAGATTCTTCGAATGCAGACGCTTAGAATTCGGTTAACTCTTAACAACAATAAGTTATNATCTAGTACACAAATAGCGAGCGANACTGGAACGATTTCAACCCCGAACGGGTTGTAACGCGGTAATACTAAACGACGATAAGGATTACGACAAGATTCCTGGCAAATTTGTCCGATGGTTATGTGAACTTCTTTCGAGCCGTCGCTTGAATCTGCTTCCAGTNCTCGCAGAGCGCTTTCGCAAAGTGATCATCAGCTACGCAAAGAACGTATAAGACAGGCTGGTCCACAGCCTAGAACCAGATCTACACTGGTTTAATNCAAGTATCGAAAATATCATCAAAGGAATCAAGGATATCACCGACAAACAAAATTAATTGGGTTCGTTCACTGTTTCACTTGGTTTTATTGCTTACGAAATATCGAAAATTTTAAAGGAAAAAGTTATCAAGGTAACTATTAAAAATTTATCAAGTTAATTCAATATCGTGAACTTTGCTTTTCATAAATCATTTGTTACAAAAACGATATTTCGTATTCAGTGAGTCAATGTTTGAACTTTATGTTAATGTTCGGCTGCTGATGAATCATTAAAAATTCTTTTCAGCCAAGGCTGAATTCTCTCAATAGCGATTATTTATCATTATTCGGACTTGTATCTTTGTCATTNGTAGTAACATTAAAAACGGCAGCATATTTTTTCGGATCGAGTGATCGTTTGAAGCTTCGATCTCGAGATCGCTGGCACCGCCGGGCGTCCTAAATCCGGTACTTCTCGACGAAGAGTACTGGATACTCGCGTCGACGTGAACTTCACAATCTTGTCCTCATTTGTATTGCCTAGAAAGAAACATTTTTTCATTCAAAATGTTTTTGTTGATTTTTTATTTATTTTTTGTTGTATCTTGCGTTAATTAATTCCAAGCAATTTTAGAAAAGAAAACAAGTTCTATTATGATAAAATTATAATAAACGCTAAGCATTTTTTTCTTTGAAATAATCCTGAATATTAAAATACTATGTATATTAAAATACTATAATATATATATGTAATTAATTATACTATAATATGTAATTAATTATAATATATATATGTAATTTTGAGGCAGTAAATCACTAGAACTCTTTATATAAACTATCGAGAACTCTTAGTCTCCTCAAAATAAAGCGGGAACTCTAATCAGAACTACAAAAATTTAATGTTGGGGTGCCAACTTAACACACGCTCTAACATGAAGGTTTTATAATCTAACATTTCTTTTTTTTAGACGAGAATTCTCGACATCGATTAGCGATTACTCACCGTTCTGCGGCGATGTAGAGACGATGACGCTTGGTCTGCTGTGATGCGACATGTCCAATGCTTCGCTTTGAATAAGGATCTCTTCTGCGTTCTTTGCGCCACGCACTACTCGGTTTTCGATATGAATTCGTTGCCTTTGGCCTCTCCTCTGTAATATGTTGAAAACAACGAAAATGTCAGTAAAAAGACATCGTCAACAAGAAATACCAATGAAATCACACATAACTACAATGATTGTCAAAGTTTGTAAATTTTTATGCATTCATATTTCATATTTCAAAGATCTCGCATGCGTAACATTCAAACGCGTTTATTTGTTAACTCAAATAGTAACAATGTAAAAAAAGTAGATGGAAATTTCTCCTCTACTGANTCAGTGCCGGCGTACGTTCGTACACACTCCAGTAAAAAGTGCTTCGAATAACTGATTCTTTTTCCCACAATAACTTCTTGGAAAACCAAGATATTTTGACAACGGATTCGAAGATTTTATGACAAAAAAAAGTATTTCTAAAAATAAAGATATAGCACATGTTTCTAATTTCGAATATAAAAAAAGAACAAATAGGAAAGAAACCAAACAAAACAAACGCGGAAAATTTTTTTTTTTTTTATGTATCTTTAACGTGCTTTATAGTCTGTGCGTTCAAGCTTTTTAAGATTCAGGCTATATATTTTTAAATATTTACACCGTAGGAATTTGGAGACTGTAAGCATGCGCGTACTGTGAATCTATAAAAATAATTTAGTGATGGACCACAAAATATGCAAATAAATCGCAACCAGACAGAAGCTTGAGAGTGGCCACGGCCACAAGAGTTTCTGCGATAGCTTTTCGTGCTTTAACAAAGCTTTTAGCTTTGCTAAACGCGGCTATAAATTATTTGTCCACAATTGCCAACAACAGACATATATATAACAGTTATAAGTATGTTTATCACTATGCTGCGATGTTTCTATGTTTATCACGTATACATACACTCACATAATATTTGTCATGATTGTGTTAATTTCATAAATTTGACACATAGAAAGACGATTGAAAAAAGAAGAGTTTAAAGTGTGTTAAACGTTTATGACAAAATACTATTTGAACAAATAAAGCTTTACTTACAAAAGCCTGTTCACATTTTGTGAGCTCGTTATAATAATTTAGTATGTCATACATTGCAAATTACGTCAATGTAAAAAAGATATTCTTAAATTGTAGTAATATGTTTGTATTAATAATGTACGGAGTATTGTCAAATAGACAGATACGTACAATAACTGATAAAATTGAATACGTATATACTTTTTAAATATAAAGAGAAAAGGACAGATTTTATATTTTGTCAGCGTATGATAAAAGATATAGGTTACATTCAAAAACAAATATAAATATTTTCAACAAATATATGACCGATCTTTTACTGACTTACCATGCTTAAGATAATAATCCAATCTATTAAAATAGAAATCTCTTGAAACACAAAATCATCGCTATATAAGATTAAAAATAAAAGATATCTGCGATCTTGCCTGTTCTAGAGATACTCGATAACTACAGCACAGTCGTTTCCGTAAAGTAACAAATATACATCACGATGAAAACATCTGTGTTGTGGAAAACGACTTACTTAGAGTGTATGTCATGTAGGTATATATATGTATAGAAGCAGTGGCGTATTAAAAGAAGTGCGAAAGAAGCTATCCGCTCCGGTCGCTGTCGGCGGACTGGAGCAATATATAAACGCGTTTTTATAGCGTGAAGTTCGTACGTTGTTTAATATAATGTACAAAAATTGTATTTGTTCTTATTTCTTCGATTTGCGTAATAGAAACACGAAATGTCTCTTCAAAAAATTTGGAGTTTTTTTGTATCAAAATCTCTTATAGATTTTGGTGTAAAATGAAAAGACTGCTTTGTCTTTTCTTGCTTATTTTTAATGCGCTCTTTTTTTCTCTAAAATAAGCGAGTAGCGCAAAAACAAACGAGGAGTACACACTTGTAACTTTACAGTCTCCAACACAGACAACTGTGCAAATAATTAGCCAAATAATTTACGAGCAAGTCAGTACTTTGTTTTTATTTTTATAAAAAATTATTTAGTTAAAGAAAAGTAAAACGTTAAATAAAATAGTACTTTTTAACAGATTAAAACAATTCTTTGATAAGTATTTAAGTAGTTATTAGCAAAGTAACTTTATAAAGAAAAGGAAAATACCGCACTGGTCTTATCTTACTACGCTACTGTATAGAGGTAACTTTTGTAGTTCGCGGATATTCTGTTCCACAGAAATGCCGCGNTTTATAAATCGCGATATACGAGGCTCGTATAAGCGCGCATATTAAATAAACGGATTACTTAATTACTTATCTCTATTTTGCTACACTATGTAAAGTGCGTTATAGTGAATTCGCGATCTACGAAAGTTATCTCTACTGATAGAAATATGGTTAGTGATAAAAAAAAAATATGTCTTTTGAAATGTAGATTTTCACTATTCACTGCGAAAACTTTCATATATGATGTTTTTTTTTTAAGATAGTAAAGTCAATATATGATTTTCTGAAAAAATACATAAAACAAAAACAAAAACAACTACATTAACTAGATTATAAAACATTTTTTAAATTATCTAAAAGTGATTGCAGCATAGACTCAAAGAGAATTGCATTTGTACTGTCTACGGTTAAAAGTAATTGTTGCTCTGTAGTTTCTTCCTACGTCTAGTGTTATGGATATGTAATGCTGAAAGCAGCAATCGAGTATGTTGTAAGAAACTTTCTTGAGATGGTTATTTTCAGGATTTTCTGTGACATGTACGTATATCAGAGCAAAAAGAAGCACGAAAACTACACTTAAAATAAGTTTAATGAAAGAAGGAAAGCGAAACAAACAAAAACTTGTTCGTTCCGCATTTCTCTTTGCATATCAGAAAGCCATCTCACTTTACAGCCATTGGATGTTAGCGAATATTTCACCAATTTATCGCACACCGGTATTGCCACTTTTTAAAATGCAAATACCGATTTTCTTTTTTCAGTGAAATCAGTGAAGGTTGCTATTATACACGAAGACAAATCAAAAAGTAAAATATAGTGATCTTTAATCAGGGTTCTTTATCATCCTCTCTTTTGATTGATAATTTGATGAAAACCGGTAGATTTAGGCCGCTGGAAAAAAGGGCGCTATTGCATCTCTCAATTCATGTGTATTGCTTATTAGATATAATACGAAGATAGAATGACGCAATAATCTTGAGAGTGTGTTTTTCAAAGCCTTACCATATTGTAGTTGTATCACATATCTATTATTTTAAGTTGCGAGATTGCGCGAGAGTACTAGTGGGTACTGCACGTTACATGACTTTTTAATACGCTCAATAAAGAATGTACATATAAACAATTTTGCAGTCTACTCTATTATTATAAGTATGTCTATGAGTATAAATGGGTAAAACAATAAAAAGTACGACAAATTACATTATTTGTACATGTGTCACCTGGATCTATAAGATCTTTTGTGACTTTCTTTATCGGCCTATCTGCTTCAGCTCGGCATTTTCTGTCAAGCTACACAGATGGCCGATCTTGATTATTTTCAGGTCCTCGAGCTCTGCAAACATGCGGCCCAAAAATCTGAACTTTTTAAGCAAGAAAGATAGACATAATATGTGCGCACTGTTCTCTTTTTTCTCGCCGCATAGTCTGCAGTTATTCTCTTCTTCTTCGCCAAACCTATGTTGTACAAATGTACCTTAAAGGCCAATGTGTCCAGTATTAAAAACGTAAGAAATATTAAAAAGTAATAAACAAATAAAATGCAAAAATTATTTTTATTATAAATAAGAATTTTGTAACAAATATTTATTTTATAATACATACGTAATAAATTATAGTTCTTTTAACACATTTACCATTTTAAATAATTAGTATAATATAAAATAGTTTGATTTCTTATTTTTATACTTGAATATATTTTGTATATTTAAATATTAAAATTTTTTAATGTGTACTTTTTATATATTTCTTTTACTTATAAGATGCTTATTAAATACTTAACTTTACAAAAATAAGTTAGCCATATAAACTACTACGCTATGATATCTTAATGAAGAATCGACTTTGTTTTATGGACAACTTTTGTTTTATTGAGCAAATTTTTACATATATTAAAATCCATAATTTGTAGTACAGATTGTAAATATAAATAATAAATATGTTTTTTTGTCATAAAACAAAATTATCTTCAAATATGACTTACGTATTGAACAACACAAATAATTGGCTAAATATTTTTAAATACAAAAGCACACTATTAGAAAAATCAATTTCTGTAAGTAAGTGCATTGTAGGACATATAACGAAGTTTACTCTTTAATTTAACTCGAAAAGAACGACGATTTACAATCTTTTTTTTAATGGCATCAATAAGAAATGATGGCTGAAACAGATAAAAACTCTTATTACATCTTGTATAATTTCGCATTAATGTTATAAAAAAAAATAAAATGTGAATAAAAACAAAATAACAGGTGATACATAAACAATATTTTAAATTTGCACAAACAGAAATAATACTGCACAATTACAAGAAAAGAAAGATATATTATAATAGTTCAAACAAACTAAAAAAACATTTACTGCATGATATATGTCCTTTAGCGTTTGTAAAATGTTTTCAAAAAAATCTAAAAATAATTTGTGGTATTATCAGTAAGTTTCATGTATTTGATAGATAAAAAAAATTCAATAGTACATATTAAAGATATTTTTTTATTATATCACAAAAGCAAGTACAACTATGACACTTATTAAAAACCTCTAACACGTACGCATAGTAAAATATTATATGTATACAACACACAATGTATGATTTACATACATGTATATAGAGTTAAAAAAAAGAAAATATATATATAAATAAAGCAAATGACAACCAATAAGTACTTCATACATACACAGTTTGTCCGGAAAGTTCCCGGACTACGTGAATTAAAAATCGAAAATGAAAGATATGGTTTATTAAACAAGTTTACACTTCA